TATTCTCCTCTCCGGACCTAGCACCGTGCGACTTTTTTCTCTTCCCAAAAATCAAGTCTGCGCTGAAAGGGACCAGGTTCGAGTCCGTGGATGCAGTGAAAGCAAAAGCGACGCAACTCTTGAAGAGCATAACACAAGATGACCTGCAGCACTGCTTCCAACAGTGGAAAATTCGCATGGAGCGGTGTAGGGATCGGGGAGGGGACTACATTGAAGGGGATAACATTTCGACTGTCTGATTTTTTTTAATAAAGGGTTAGAGCATGAATCCGGTTTCTTTATTGCCACACCTTGTATATGAGAAAGTATTGTGATTGTGAAAAAATCACAAGATTTGTATGCATTTACATGTACCCTCCTGAACACAGAAAAGTGGTTTTTGGAATGCCATCTGTCTCTATGGAAGTGCAACTTAATGGTTGGGCAGATTTTATTCATGTACAATATTTCAAAGTTCAGTCACCATGAATCATTGCCCGGTGAATATCGACATGCTAGCTCCAGAAACAGAGGCCCCTAAAAACAAAATGACTGTAATTTAGATTAATCACATGTGAGAACATATGTGCAATGTTTCTTTGGCAGAACTTACCTTAATGCCAGGTGTTACAAGCTGGGCGATCTTCTCAGTCATCAGGTCATGAAAATGTGGATGAAAACGGTACACTGAACCATCAATTCCCACAGTCACATTTTCCTGTCCCATCTTGTTAATGAGTGTGGCCACACCAGCTGACACCAGATGTGCAGCACGTCTTGACACACTTTCACATACATAACGAACATTGCCACAGTCCTGATCAGTTGCATGGCTTAGGCCCAGTTCATCTAACACTTGCCGGCAGTTCACATAGCTTCCTCTTTTGTCACTGTAAAAATAAAGACTGTTAGTGCAGTACATATAAAACAGTATTACTTCTTGGCCTAATTTCTCCATTTTCAGTGGAACTTGGACCTTCGTATATGTGCATACATGTCCATACCCTCCAATTTTGAACCAGTAGTCATTAAACTTACCTGGATATCATTATACCATACATTCACACTGTTTTAATTCCCTGCTAATGCCAGTATTAACATGCAGAATTATGTGGTAGCAGTGATAGTTGCACCATTTAATGCAGAACCCCAGAATGTTATGTTGTGACAAGCAGGGCCAACATGATCTTTCTGTTTATATGTGACATTCTCCATTATGTGGAATTACATGGAACATGGAAATGGTATACTGTGCCTAGAACATCTTTAAGTATGGATCATCATCAGATAATGACACAGATCATTCTATTTTCAATATGACAGGAACCAGAATCACCATACCCGAGATCTTGTTGAATACACAGGACTCATCTTCCCTCGGGTTGTCTATTCGAGGTACAGTGTACCCTCAGAGGATTCTTGTAGACATTATTTTATGGTAATGTGAAAATCTGGTTTCACTTTGTGAAAAATTGGTATGGAAAGAGTACACAGATACCTCCATACCTGTCATCTATCCCAGTTGAGGAGGGAGACTCCCCATCTTTTACCCTTCTTTCTGCTTTCCAAGTTAATAAAGTGTTCTAGTGATTTTCTGTAAAAAATTTCTAGTTACACATTGCAACCCCTCCCTCACAATTTAAAAAATCTGTTGCTGTGTGCTCCAGAGTCTGAATGTAGTCTGAATGTATCCAATATGCTGATTGGTTTATTAACTGGTAGTTGCAAAATGCAGTCACTGTATTTTACAGTGACACCTTGATATAACATTAATGATGGGGGACAGTTTAAACATCAGTGGTACCAACATTGGAAGCAAAAGTGACATATAATTTTGGAATCCCTGTTTCTTTTGATGTATATAAGTACACAAAAGTAATTTAAGATGCATATTATATTTACATTTTTTTTAATTCTACTAATAATAAGTAAGTTTTGAGGTTTTCACGGCGATGACAATGAAGAAAGTTGTCTTCTGGGTTTAGGCACCGTGTATTCTTCGTTTTGGCCGACGTTTCGGAGGAACGTAGCGCCTCCATCTTCAGAGCAGTTGAATAGCTGCGGAGAGCAGCAGCTACTGCTCTCCGCAGCTATTCAACTGCTCTGAAGATGGAGGCGCTACGTTCCTCCGAAACGTCGGCCAAAACGAAGAATACACGGTGCCTAAACCCAGAAGACAACTTTCTTCTACTAATAATAAGGTTACCATGTAGTTATATTTTATGCCTCCACATTGAAAGTGTTTGTTGTAACTGATTAAAGCATTTTTTTTCAGTGCATAATGCTTAATACTGGCCTGATGCAGTAAATGAAGGTGTTAGGTATCAGCCAGACATTCTAAGTTCACCATCATTGTTTATGTTCGTACCAGTCCTCTCTCTACAGGATCATTATCCTCTTCGCTAGGTTATCGTTTGTTTCTCCTCACAGAAGCTGCATGTTCTTCTTCACAAAGGTGCTGCTAGACTAGCACTTGTGTGCCAGCCTCAGCTCAGGCCATTATGTTATTTGCTCCTAGATTACCCCTGACTGCATTACAATCAATCTTCATTTCTTGTTCCAGAAATTCTGCTTTGTCATCTTCTGTGACATCAGTTAAAAAGGTACTAAGACCTTAAATATGCAACAGTGTTTTTTGATTAATTAATTTAAAATCAATTTGAAATTAATCAATATAACCATTGCTGTGTTTGACGGTTGAATGTATTTGAAGTCTTAATACCTTTTTAAATTGTAATACACACAACAGGATGCAAGCAATAAAAATTTTTGTGACTTCATCCTTTCCAACATATTCTTTTCTTAGTGTTCTATTTCCATTGTATTTACTTTCCTCCAAATCAAACAAACACTGTAGGTACCATCTGATGTAGAAAGTTCTGTAACCTCCAGTTCAGGATTTACAGTGACACCAAGTAGCTCACTATGGCAACAGGCTTTGCAGCCTTGAATAATATCTTCATACATGAGCTGAATCAGTTTCAGGACATTAGCAGAAGGGTGGACTGAACAGTAATCCAACAGAAACACAGCCTCTTCTTCAATTTTTTTTCAGTGGAATTTTATTGATACAAAGTCACTCTTAAAATATGAGGCATAAATATGGCACATTATTCAATTGTTGGAACTGTTTTTATACACAGCAGACAGAGATTTCATGCTGACCTACTTGAACCCCAGAGACTTTGCACAATGGTTTAGATTGTGATTGCAGTCTTCTTGGCACATAGCAACAGTCACTTTCTGTGTTAAGTTTTCATACCCACTCTGTTGGGTGCATTTAAAATCTATCTACAGTCACTTTCAAGGCTAAGTTTGACTATGTTCTTGTAGCTACCACTTGTACAAATTCTCATCTACATCAGTGTTTTCACAAAGGCTAGTCATCTTTTTCTGCAACTCTATTTCATCTTCTACAGAATCCAATTGTATATTGTTTCTCCTGGGTTTCCACATATGGAAATGATTTTCCGCTTTAAACTATTTAATGATCTTCGTCTTTTTTCTAGTTGTATATTTTTCACTCTTGGTGGTCACTGCTACAGCCCTTCTGACTTACTAATGACCAGTAAACCATTACTATAGTCCAAGAAATCTGTCCCTCACAACTGCCTTTTTTACATCAGTGTGTGCTATACCCTCAGATTTCTGACTCATGAGGAGTTGAGCAGATGAAAGAATTAACATGGTTCATGGGTGTCAACTCTGTGAATTTCTTCTGTCTCCTCTTAATAAGGGTGTACGCTAATTACTTGTGTGTTCAGTGTCACCCTTCAGGAAGAGAATTCTAAGAAAATACTAGAAAATTCAGCAAGATATTATACTGGACTGTGGACACACACCTCTATACATGCACAGCACAAAACAGAATGTGTCAGTACAGTCTTCTACATAACTACTAACACATTTCATATTAACTGCTGTGAAGTTAATTACAATCGCTGTACGAGTGAATCCATAGTATAACAAGGAAATGGTACGTCAATTTTTCTCTGTATATTGATTGTACTTCAGGTAGTCACGTCCATAGAGTAGCACAGTTGCAGCTCTTCCAGCACTCGTATATGAGAGGTCACTCGCGCATGACAAACACAGTCAATACCATGTCCTGTTTATGGCTGCTGGCAGATGGAGTGTGATGGTGTGGTGTTTAGTGTTAACAACTGTTTGGTTTTCTTGAATTGTGACATTCTGCTATTGACTGTGACATTTATTGTTTATGTGCCCACAAGATGTCAAGAAAATATGAAGCAACTTCTTCTGAAAGATTCATTTCATCAATTTTGTTGTGTATCACTGAGCCAAGAAAAGGTGCTACTTACACTTTTTGCAGAGAGTAATAAAGAGTGTAGGTGCAGAAAGAGCAATGTAGTAAAGAAAGTGAAAACAGAGAAGATTAACGCATGTAAAATGCCTGGTTACTTCATTCATTACAGAACATAGTTCTCATCCAGACTGATTATGCAGGTCTGTTATTCAGGAGAATGTTCCTATCAATCAACTAACAAAAAATATGGATGAAGCAGAATGAAAATGAGGGCAGCTGTCAGTGAACTCAAAAAATAGAAACTGCACTTAGATTACAACAAATTTAACAAAAGGTCTGTGACTTCATACTAGACAGTTCTGCTAGTTTTGTGGATAGTCTGGAGAAGGAGATTCTTTCTTTCAGCAACATGCAACCATATGGTATACAAGTTCCCACTGACAGTTGTTTTAATGAATAGTGAAATGGCCAACCTCTCATCAATAAGCAACATGCTTCACTTTTTAACGTTAAACTTTTTATGAACAAATTCCCAGGGATGTTGAACACTGAAGGGGTAATATTTAAATGAAGAATCATACACAATGCAGTCTCACATTTACAGATTTCAGCTTGAGGACCTAGGTGGAGAAACTGAAAAGGAAAAATTCTGCGGACTATGATTGATAAGATGAAAGCTGCAGGTGGCGTTTACTATTTTAATGGTCCCTCACAGAAATGCAGAGCAGGAAAAAACAGTTACCCATGTGACAGAAACCAGAACGTGATTTATATAACCTGTTTATGACAAAACCATTGGAAAATTGACTCTAAAATCTACACCAAAAGTAAGTGTCTGCACATCTTAAAAGAAGTATATTGGCAACAGTAACCAGCTGTGGTGTTATATTAATATGTACTGGTATGCAGGGGTTACAGATGTAATTACAGTTAATATGCCTTGAAAATGTTATGTTGTAGTCAATATCTGAATTTTATACAGGGTGGGGCACAGAAACTTCCCTTTTGTGAAGACGCATTGTGAAGGGAGGGGAGGTCGCAGAAGAGTGGGGATAGGCTCGGCGAACGCAGCAGTTGCAGAACTTTCTGTCTATTACCCCTCAGTAGGAAACATGAGGTGGACGAGTGAGCAGTGTGCATTTGCTGTCAAAGCCTATTTTTCAAACAACCATTCCTATGTGGCAGTGCAGCGTGCATTCCGTACTCACTTCAGAATTACGCCCAGAGGCCTGGTTCCCAACCAGAAATCGATTGTTTTGTGGGTAGAGAACTTTAGGACAACTAGGAGTGTGGTGAAAAAATCATCAGGACGACAACGGACCGTTACGACGCCAGAAAATGTGGAGGCAGTTCAACAGTCGATTTTGAGATCTCCAAGACACTCCACTCGCATACATATCCAAACATATCCAATCGTTCAATGCGCCGAATTCTTCACAAACATCTTAATTTCCATCCCTATAAGATGATTGTTATGCAAGACTTGTCACCACGTGATTTCCAGAACTGAATAACGGCGCGCGAAACATTATTGGAAACTTTACCCCCCGATGCACTTGTTTTCTTTAGTGATGAGGCACATTTTCACCTATCCAGATATGTCAACAAGCAGAATATGTGCTATTGGAGTGGTAACAATCCCAGAGAGCTCCATGAGAGGCCACTTCACGGTGATAAGGTGACAGTATGGTGTGTGTTGTCAAGAGTTGGAGTTATTGGCCCTTATTTTTTTTAAGAAGAAGACAATCAAGCAGTTCCTGTCAATTCACAGCTGTATGTGGACATGATTAAAAATTTTGTCGAACCAGCTCTTGAGGAAATGCATCTAGGTAATGTCTGGCTCCAACAGGATGGTGCCACGGCCCACACAGCCCAAGCTTCAATGACAGTTTTGAGGGCAAAGTTCCCCGGACGACTCATCTCACTTCGAGGTGACATCCCGTGGACAGCACACTCACCTGATCTAATGCCCTGTGATTTTTTTATGGGGATACCTCAAGGCAGAGGTTTTTAAACATCGCCCCATAAACCTGCTTCAGCCAAAGAATGTTATGCGGCAGGAAGTAGCCCAAATTCCGGTGCACATGTTGGAACGTGCAGAGGGGAACTTCAGAAAACGGTTGCATCAGCGCATAGAGAACGGTGGCCAACACCTTCAAGATATTTTGTTTAAAACTACATGATTTAAAACTTTAAAGTGTGTTCTTTCATAAGCTAAACATAATTTTTGTCTATCAGCAATAATTTTCTTTTATTCGCCTTCAAAAAAAGGAAGTTTCTGTGCCCCACCCTGTATTTACAAATTGGTAGATATGTACCTTCTATCATTGCTATGCCTCTAAGCCTGTACTCTGGTGAAGTATCAGCAGCTATTTTAAGTACTGGAAGTATCACCCTCTACAACTATGGCCATACCATAGCTTAGGCAAACACTAACTTCCCACCCTGGTGGCCTGGGCTCAGTCCCATATCAGATCATGTGGGATACTTGGTGGACTTAGTGGCACTGGGACAAGTTTCTCCAAATACTTGGTTTTCACTGCCAATTCTCATTCCACCAACTGCTCCATATTCATTAATACCATACAGGCTCAATACCGACTACATTGTTAAGTAACCCACTTATATAGACTAAATACTGAAATAATTAAGTAACAAACTTACAAAAAAAATCACAACACATGGCAAGACAAACTTTGCTGTCAGTGATTATGGTGTATGCTGATAGATATGAAAATGACCACCTTCCATACTATCCTACTTCTGATGGACATCCCCTTTTATGCAGTTTAACTAGTGTTTTCTCCAGAGCCATGTAGCCTACTTTCCTCATTCTACAAAATGCTGATAAATAATGAACAATTTAAGCTAAGTGTATTAAGTTTTGTAAGAAGATAGCTCTTAAACACATCAGTGAATTCTATATGAACCAGTATTTTTAATGGGAAAAATGTAGTTAAAAACACACACTAGTGGGAATTATGCATATGGTTGATGACTGCATAACTATTACAATTTCTGCTAACATCACATTAGACTGAAGCTTTTAAATGGAGATATGAGATATGATATTGGTGCTGGTATTCTGATATGATAAGGTGAGAGGTGACATTGCTTATGTATTGTCATAAAATAGACTTTTAAAATATGGTAAATGTACTTTTAGAAATGTGAACAGTGGAAGTAATTGCATTAAAAGATTAACCTTGACCTTTACTGGCTGTGCAGTGCATTAGGGTGCCACTTGTGTGTGGTCCAGCTGGCTGCATGTTGCATGTTTTCAATAGTTACCTGAGTTACAATATAGATGGCAGCCCTGTAAAATCTGAATATTTAAAATCCCTATTCCCATATAATGTCAATTGGCATTGCAGTATCACAGTTGCTTGTGCACAGTCTAGCTGGCTGAACACTACATTATATTTTTAAGTTTTAATTCTAAGTTAATATCTGGCTGTCAAACCCAACGTGCTATGGGATTTAAAATCCCCTATTCCTGGATGATCAAAGTTAACATATATTTGGACAAGTTTTCATGGTTTATCAAGGAAAAGCGCAAAACCCTGGCTTTTCTCCCACACTATAGAAATGTGATCCAACTTGTAACTTACCTTTCAATTTCTGAAATATATTTAGTGAAGAAGTTCCCCCTCTTGAACAGTAGGTCAGAGCCCCTTCCTCCAAACAGAAGACCTTGTTTCGTAAACTTGACCAGGACCAACCTTGCAAGTTCACCCATATACATTCCTGAGATCATCTTCTCATGTCTGTAACAATTTATTCTGTGATTAATGCTCTGTATAGTTCCAAATGAAGAGACTTCCTTTCCTGGACCTGTATTAACAATCCAAGTGTGTATCCTAATTCAATTACAGATTTCAATCTTACTGACACATTTCCATTAAACTCAATGTAAAACATATTCTGGCCACTTCTGAAAAGAATTTTATAAACTGCTTCACTATTTACTTCTATTCATTACTCCCTGAAATAAACTCCAAAATATCACAAGAGGATTATAACGTAACCTTTACTTCCATGGAGCTGAGTCCTTCCTCATAAGTTAGTTACTTGTACCTCAGTTAGTTAAAAATGTATTTTTATAAAATCCAAGCATCCCACCCCACAATGGATTTCTGTAAAAATATCAGAATTGAAAGTGAAGGAAATATACCAAAAATTAATTACTTTTAAATGTGGCATCATCTGTTATTTCAATGCTGATCTAAAACTCCACAGCAACCAATAAAAATCCTTGAATAGCTTGAATGTAAGTTTGCAAGGACATACCCTCCCTAGGAAAAAAATCCTGGTAGCTTACACAGTAATGAGATAAAATGTTTGTCACTTCTAAACAGACAGTTGCAGGCAGAACTCATAGACTGCCTTCCTGTTTCATAGATTTTACTTAGATTACTTAGAATTTGCCCATGGTGGGTGCATGCTGGACTCATGTGCATGTGGTCATATGATATAATCCTAGTTCAGTCAGAATTTGTATTGTGCTTGTTACTGTATTGTCGGTGGTGGTGGCATTATCATCACCATAATCCTTTTGGGGAGATTGTCTTATGGTTGCTCTTCAAAATCTCAGAGTTCACACCATCACATTTGTAATTGTTGATTTATAATATTTTATATATAATTTATAGGTCTCTTTATATTCCATCTCCAAACCAGATTTCAAATGCTTAGCTTCTGTGGTTAGTTACTGCCTTCAAACCGAAAGCTAAATATAGGTCTCATGCATCTACCATTGTGTTTTACATTTTACAAAGCAAAAGTACTTTAAAACAAGGAATATGAAATTGGGGAGGCTCCAGAGGCAAAACATTCTTGCTGAATTCCATAAAAATTGCTTCTGGGTTTGAAAGGTGTCAGCAGAACACAGACAAAATGGCAATCACTTAACCCTACTTTTCTCCATAAGGAAAGGAAATTAGGCTACAAATACAGAAAAAAAACACCCACTTACTACCTTTCACTTTCAATGTACTAGCAAGTGTAAAAATTTACAACTTTTCAAAACACTCACAGTTGCTTTCCTGGATTGATGGAGTGCTGATCAATTTCACGGTCATATTCTGTGCGGACAATGTCTAGTCGTCCATCATCTCCAAATGCCCCCCACTCTGTGTTGATGACAACATATGGTTTTGATCTATCACCATCAAATAGTTCTGCATTCTCAACTCGTTCAACATAGCAGGCATTGCTGCCAGTTCCTGTATTCAGATAAATGTAAGCTTTAATGCTTCATAAAATGGTATTACTGTGCTCAGTGTTGTGATGACACACATCATTACAATATCATGATGACTGAAAATTATTTTTTATATTTGATTTATTAAAAAACAGGTACACAGGACATTATATACATACAGCAAAAAAATACTCTCGTCCCAAGAATGGAAGCATGGAAAACAATGTAAAATAATCCCTATTGAATAGGAAGTGAGCAGAAAAGGAGAGAAAAAGCAAAAATTTAATGGAAAATAGTCTCCTTCAATATGAATTGTTTCTGTTCATAAAATATTGCTCCCTATTTAAGCTTCCTGAAATTATCTGATAAAGAATAACTCTCTCACAGATGGGAAAGAATTAAGTCAAACTATGCACATAATATTTTAATGGGTCAGTGGGGAAGAAGGTAAAGAAAATACAGAACAGTCCACTGAATATATATATATGTTTCAATCAAAGTCCTTTAAATTCCCGTCCAAAAAATCTCAAAAACAAGGCCTTGCTTGTTTTTGGCAATGTAAATGACCATCCTGTTAACACTGAAGACTAGACTAACAACAATGAAAACATTTTCATGCCACAAAATAAAACCTCTTTCATACAACCAATGGACTAAGAAGTGACAGTCATTCAGAACCTATTACTTAAGTGAGACGAATGTAGCAGCAGCTCACTGAGACAGTGAGGTGGACGGTAATGACAAGGGCCATTAGTTCGGGAGTTCTAAGGGGCTATATGCCAAGGTCACAGACAACACAGGGGCATCTTGGAAGGTCACTCAAGCAGTGATAAATGGTGTGCAGCAAAATGTATCGCCAGGGCGCATACAGATATTTTCCAGTCCTCCGGAAATCCAATTGCTGATTGTGCAAGTAGCTTTAAGGAAATGTATCAAAGTAATGCAGGAGAGTAGCTGAACTGCAATGTGATGAACTGATCAAAGAGGATCTGACTGAGTTGGAGCAACAAATTTTAAGTTGGCAGGAGAAAGTGTAAATACAGACAACACTGCAATTAAAATAGCTGATGGCAAAAAAAAAGTTGCATGATGCCTTCAGTGTGTTCAAGAAGGGGATGACCACTCTCGTTGATGACCCAAACAAGGAATGGATGGTAAGTGCAATCAAGGACTGAGTGATCTTCGTGCTTGACTAATGCGTGTGAATGCTGTTTGCCTATACTGTACATACGTGTCTTTCTTAATGTTTTCTGTTTAATTTCATTTCCTAAAAGCAGTTAAGTGAAGCTTAAGTTAGATGTCAAATGCAAAAAAATTATTTGGGCAATGCATCTGCTCTGTAAAATATAAATTATTCAGAAAATACACATCCAATTTTACAACTTTCTAGGAACATGTCCTGAACTGCAGCAGCCTTGGTTCAGTTTCAGGTTAAGTCATTTTGGATCTGTGGTGGGAAGTGACACTGGCGCAGTTTATCTCCAAATATATAAGCTCAGTGGGCCCTAGAGTTGGTCTGGACACTGTGGAGCACACGAATATCTTGCAGTGTCAGGAACTGAACTTGGGCTGTCCAGCCTGTAGCTCATCACTATACTGACTAAGATGTCCTGACTCCAGCAGTTTACAAAATAACTATTTTAATTTTGGACAAAAATTATGTACAAGCAGAACTTTACAATGATCTTCAAACAAGATTACTTTAGCAACAACTGAAGTAATATATCCATCTGGGTCTTAGTTTGTTTGGTGTTGAACCAGTTGGCCCCTCTCATAAAAGTGACAGTGCCCCTGAATAGTTTTACTAATAAACATTATCACTACTTATCCAAATAAACACTCATGATTAAATTACATAATATAAGATATACAACACCTTGAACTAAATACCAGATATACAGTGTATGGTATGAATACAATGGAACAATCCACCCCACTGAGGAAAGACAATATACAATTTAACATACTGAGGAAGGCATGATAGATTTTTAAATTCACAGCATAAATGCATGCATTGGTGAACAGTTGAAGTGCATCATGTGAACAGCAATTCAAACTTTCGTGCTACTCACGTACCAACAATGAGGCCAATCTTGCAGTTGAAATTCTTCCATGCGCAAGACATTAATGTTCCTGTTGTGTCATTGAGTATGGCACAGACATCAATCTGAACATCCTGTAATACAAAATGCATATATGATGCACAGCAGACACACAGAGCTAATGACAAAATGTGATTAACTGGAACAAACACCGGCTGCTGGAAAAAGAAAAGTTTTTATTAGACATGCATATGTTGAGCCTCTAATCAGAAGTATAATTCCATAATGCTGTATTATAGACGTAAACCAATGATTACACAATTCAACACACAAAATCATGCCAATGGTGGACAGAAAATGCTATTACAGTGGGACTGAAATTGTTCTTTGGTTAGTATAAAAGGCTCACAGTTCTGGCAAAGTGAAATTAAGACTTAGATGAATGAAAGATATGTTTAATGCAACAAGGCAGAGGTATCATGCATTTGCATCTACAGTAAAGACAAAAGGTAAAGTTGTTCCTGTGCTTAACTAATTAAGCACTATGCCATGAAGACGTATGTGAGGAGTGGATGTACAGATCTAGGTTTTCTTGATCTCGGCAGTAGTTGGAGATGAGTGGTCATTACAACAAATTTATTCAAATCTAATTACTTTCAGAATCCCTGCAATCCCTATTTTATGAGTATCCTGAAAAAACATTCAAACTAATTGCATTCATCAGCAATGGGTTACTTTTAAGCTATGAATTATATATGGAAATCAAATCTAATGCTAGCTCTCAGAATTAAAGGAGGAAAAATAATGACCATGAAGTAGAAAGGAAAGAGGAAATTACTGATGTCAGGGAAGTTGATTACCAAAACTAATGCAGGAAAATATTCTTTAGGAAATTTAATAACCTGAAAAAGAAAAACCTGTGTTTTTGGGGGGTGGGGAATTTATTGATGAGAAAAGGAGAAGCATATGCCAAGCAGTTCACACACCATGGGAAACACATCTTCAATGCAAGTATTATGTTTTTGGACATTATCCACTGCCTTGTCCAGTTTTTAAAAATCCATCCTGTTTCTTTAAAAAAAAACGTTTTGGAGACTGGATTCTGTCCCCATCTTCAGATAAAACCCACTCAGTTGGGTCCAATAGATAGAGTTAGCCCCTATCTCTGGGGACAGAATCCAGTCTCCAAAACGTGTTTTAAAAAAGAAACAGGACCTTTTTCTTAATTAGACAAGACAATGGATAATGTCCAAAAACATAATACTTGTAGCAATATACCATCATCACAAACTTTTAGATCTTAAATCTTCAATATCATATCCACACTATAAACACCTCCTCCCATGAACAAGAAAAATTACTTACATTCTGTATTTGGTTAAGAGTTCTACTTTTTTACCTTCATTAAACTACACATAAATAGCATTGAAAGAATTTTATATTTTATAAATGTTAGCTGCTTGTAGTCTGATGCACTACCATGATCTATGCATACATGCACACATGAACAATGTTTAAAATTTTGCACCTATGGCATCTACCACACGAGTCCTTGTTGAGCACCGACATGAAAATATCCCTTGAACATATGTCAACAGAATTTTCATCAAGGAATGGTATGGAACAGTCCATAGGTACAAATATTTGTATTGTGTTTGTCACACTGCATTCCAACATTCATCATGTTTCACAAAAATGTGTTGGTCTAAATTTCATTAAAGGGTATCTTTTGTCTCAATATTCATCAAGGAATCATGTGATGACCATCACAATTCAAGTATCTTGAAACGTTTTAATGTCAAAATCATTAGTAGTTTTTCTGTCATTTCTCTTTTGAAAAGTGACCATTATCATATATTTAAAAAAAGTAGTTCCTTTGCAATGTCGTGTAAAATATAAACTGAGAGCTTAAATAACCCAACATAAAGCAATGCCTCAATTCAGTAGTTTTGTGGTATTCCATAGTTCTGTCCATTCATACTTTGTAGGAATTTATGCACACTTAACAAGTACTAGCATTTAAATGTCCTCATAATACATGACATAATTATATTTATGTACAATCAGCCTGTATAATGGTACTGTGCATTCAAAAGACAATTAAAATAAATTGCCAAAACCTAGCAACTCATTCTTCAAAAAAAAATCTACATTCTTTCACATTGTATCATTAACATTAAATACTGGCAAATCCTGAAAATTTAATTATTTATATTATTACTGATTTACCTGCATATGTCATATTCATATACAGCATGTGCCCCAATTTTGTGGTGTTAACTATTTTCAGCAATTTTCTCTTAGATTATAAACTGTCACTTCACAAATAAATTAATTTTAAAACCAATTTTCCAAAGAACGAACATATTCATTTCATGAACCCATTCAGAAGCAGTTGCTTATTAAAATTCCTTTTACTTCATATGTTTGATCAGCATTCTTAATTACTTATTACTGACTAAATGTAATTGAGAAATGTAAAAATGGAGGAAACAATTTAATAAAAACCACTAAACAATGTGTTCAATTCTGCATTTTTCAGGAACTATGTATCTATCCTGCAAACTTACATTTCTTCTGCTGAGGGCATCCTTCAGAAGTTGAACCACATCTTCCCCAACACATCCACTGCAGTTAAATCCCTTGGTCCACCGTTCTAGTATACCTTTAGTGAGGCCCTTCTGTTTGAGTGGGAAACTGAATGTGAAGCCCAGAGGGAGTCGCTCCTCCCCCACATTGTGCTCCTTCATGAAGTTTGCCAAGCATTCTGCTATGTGATCAAACAGCTGCAGAAGATAAACCATAACATGTAATCTCTAAAGAAGGTAAGATTGCTGTGTCAATAATATAAATATTGTGGGCACTGTGTCCTAAATTTTCCCTCCTATAAAAGAACCATAAAGATTTCAACCAACAGAAATGTGTGTTGCCCTCACCGTCATCTGTCACCATGTGTACAAAGGAATGTTGCAAAAATTAACTATACAGATACAACATATTACCTTAGTTAACCAAAAATATTACTAAACAAGAATGACAATGTGCGCTCCAAATAACAGACAATATTATTACCAAACATTTCAAATAAAGTTTCCGATCTTCATGAGGTTATCATTCTATATACTTACTTACTTACTCATGGAGCTGAGCCCTTCTGGAGGAGCCACCAATTCTGCAGCTACTCAAGAACTTCCCAGCATTTTATGGAACCCGAAGGTTCATCACCATATTCACAAGAGCCCTCCACTGGTCCCTATCCTGAGCCAGATCTATCGAATCCATACCATCCCATCCTATCTCTCTAAGATCCATTCTAATATTGTCCACACGCCTACCTACGCCTTGGTCTTCCCTGTGGTCTCTTTCCTTCTGGCTTTCCCACCAATATCCTATACACATTCCTCATCTCCCCCCTTCGTACTACATGACCTGCCCACCTCATCCTCCTTCACTTGATCATTCTAATTATACCTGGAGAAGAGTACAAGTTATGAAGCTCCTCATTATGCAGTTTTCTCCAACCTCCTGTCACTTCATCCCTCTTCGGTCCAAATATTCTCCTCAACACCCTCAGTCTATGTTCCTCCCTTAATGTCAGAGACCAAGTTTCACACCCATACAGAACCAATCATTTTTTATATGGTACCAATAATGCTTATGATGATATGTTTTTGAGAAATGTTATTTAGTTAAAAATGACATATTCCTGAAAAGCTGAATGAGGACTCCCCCAATTCTAAGTAGCATTAAAATCTATTTGAGTAACTTCAGATGAAATATGCACACAGATGGACAGACAGGCATAACTGTTTCCACCAGCCAATCATTTCATGCAATATGTACAGAGAACATACAAATGAAGGAAATATGCAAACTGTTTGAAATCAGTTGCATCTTCTTTAATAATTACAGCAATGCAGAGTGCTATTTGGGGAAACTGAAACAAATGAAAGACATGAGGGGGATGGTATATGATACATTTTTATGTATTCACTAGTCTCATGTGCAACTCACACTAAACATTTTAAAATTCAAAACTTTAAAATTTTAACTCTCAGCTGTTTCAAGTTGTATGTCTTTATGTGTGTGTTAAATAGATAAAACTTGAAACAACTGAGAGTTTTACAAATTTCAAGTTTTGAATTTTAAAACTTTTGCTGTGAGTTGCATGTGAGATGCTAGTGAATACACAGTGCAACAGGATGCTACAATATAACAATATGATTCATGTTGTATTGTACAGTATCCTGAAAATTCAATACCAACCTGATTTTCCTTTTTGAATACGTACTGTGTTTGCTCAAATATAAGGCATACCTTTTTCTATTATATTTCAGCAATCTGTTGCATTGTGGGATCATTTTTAGATCGTAAGTATTCCGTCTATAAGGCAACAAAGTCAACCTTTTGTAAAACAGACTAAAATATGTTTAATACACTAAAAGTGTTTGTTAAATATTTTAAATGTAATTAACTATATACATTCATTCCTTGTTGTTACTTGTTTTGGCCACATGTGTGCCATCGTCAGGCAACACTTATTATTGGGGAGAAGTGTCTAAGGGCACAGAAGACAAAGTGTACAGTGCAGTGGTCTCCCCAATAATAAGTGTTGCCTGATGATGGCACATGTGTGGCTGAAACATGTAGCAACAAGGAATGAATGTATAAGTTAATGACATTTAAAATATTTAACAAACACTTTTAGTGTATTAAACATATTTTAGTCTGTTTTACAAAAGGTTGACTTTGTTGCCTTATAGACGGAATACTTACAACCTAAAAATTATATCTTTTTCTTCCTCAAATATCTCCCAAGAAACTTACTGTGAATTCTTTTCATACACATTCAATTCTATACATGTCAGTAGAATCTGTGAACAAAAATTTTGTTTCATTTGAAGTACTCATAGGAGTGGCTGTGAAGAGTACTACTTTCTGGATGTGATGCCATGTAGTCTCACAGAAGTTCAAAGATGTTCAGGAGAAACGTGCCATCTCCAGCTATAGGAAGGAAAAGCAAGCAGAGCTAAAGGAGTGCATTGCTTCAAAATGTCGGTGAACTTCTATCAGACTATCCAGTGTCACATCCCAGAAGACAGCACTCTTCTAAAATGTCATTTATTGAAAGTAATTTACTTTCTCCTATATTGTGACAACAATGGAAAGTACAATTGGAAATAATGAATTTTAACAAAATATATCTTTAACTTAATAGTATGCACTGAACAATATAAAAATTATCTGAACATTAGCTGAGAGTAATGGTAGTAAATAAACATTCAAAATTAAGACCAATAAACTGCTGCTGCTTCAATCTGTGTTGTCAGCAGTACCAAATATAGAATATAAACTGTTTAAAGCACTATTTTGAATTGTTTCATTTTGGTCCGTTACACTATCAATCACCAATTATCAATAGAACCTCCGTCGAGTGTAACAATATATATTCTTGTCACCATTTTCTCACATTTGCCTTACATGTTTNAGCCCACACAACCTCGTGCTGACGCCTCCCCCATTGGGACTATCCACTAAGAGGAACCTGAATATTTTACTTGGACGGTTTTAACTTTAATTTTAACATTAACGACCCGCTTTGTGGGTGATATTTTAAATGCAAATGGGATACCCGCACTCGGGGTACTGGATGTTGTTGTGTTTTACGCTCCGATACGTGTAACATCTTCCACAAAAAACTGTATATTGTGATTGTTGAGCAGTGCAAGTGTTTCCATGTTTTTGTTGTGGTTGCCTCTGATGATGGCTCTTTGTGAGCCGAAACATGTAAGGCAAATGTGAGAAAATGGTGACAAGAATATATATTGTTACACTCGACGGAGGTTCTATTGATAATTGGTGTTTAAAGCACTATTTAAGAATGAAATATGGCAAATGGTAGTTATTTGAAGTCTTGTTTCTGCTCAGTCCAACCATAAAAATTAAAAACAGTCTGTTCAGTCTTGTTATACAATTCAGTTATAGAAACTTGGCAGTCAGTCTCAACAGTAATTATTGAAAGTTTAAATATGTCTTGTATATCCAATCCAATGCATTGGACAGATAATGACATGCTGTGGAGATAAGAACAGGATGAATCAGAGGTTCATGGAAGCAAATTCAGTGAATACAATGAACTGGGTAGTAATGTCAGTTCCATCAACATCAAAGATTTATGTGAACATGAATGTTTAGTTTAGTATATTAGCATGTGCAAACTTTGGAATAAATTTAAAAGAACTGACATGTGAAAACATTCTGAAAAGTATTTTAAAAAATTATAATACCACTTACTGTATTTAGAAACTTACAGTATCAACAAATTTTATACAACTGATGAACAATTCTCTTTAACTTAACTATTCAAATTGGAGTGCATATTGTTTCTGGGGTTGGAATAAATCTAGGCAAATACATTATCTTAGTTTGAGTAGCATATTTTTTTTTGCACTGGTTACCTCAATTAGTTTCATTACACAAACTGTTTTCCAAACTCATGTCATCACTTCTGCTTTCACACACATTTCAGAACTAAGGAATGTTAAAGCCCTGGGATACAGGAGGTATTGGAGGTTTAAATCCGTGAAATCGGCATGCTACAGTGTTAAACAGCAGGCTGGTGCAATAAGTCCATTTGAGGCTGCAGCTGAGGGGGGACAAGAGCTCAAGGTTCAGTGATTGCTCACCTGTGTTCCTGTTCCCAACATAATACTCTGTGGTATGGCATAAATCTTAGACTTCATATCGAAGTGCTTTTCTCCAAGAGTTATGATTAAGACACGGAAATTCGTACCCCCAAGATCCAATGCCAGGAACTTTCCACGTTCTGAAATAGATCAGACCCAGATCAGCAAGCTTCAGCACAGTTTAAAATACCCATTAAAATGCTGACCAATAGAACAGAATGCACACACGTGATATTGCATTATGCCAAAACCTAACCTTCTGAGAATGAAAATGTGCAGTCATGAACAACAGTTCATTTAAAATCTTCAATTTCATGATCACAGCTTACACATTACTGTCTGTGGGCTAGATAACCCAGACTGATTCCTGCAGTGGCAAGAGTTCTCTTTGCCACAATGTGAAGTCCAGATCCAAAGCCCATCCATCATTCTATCTGGTGGGCGGTGGGTATCAGAGGCCCATTCGATGGCAGTAAAGGGTACACATAGGGTCAATTTTACTTCTGTATAGAATCTTCAGACTTGAAAGCCATTATAATACGGGGGCTACTGTTCCAGTTGTTAGTAATTTCTAGCTTACTGCCTTTTTACTGTGAAACTGCTACCAATAAAAGTGAATATGACAAAATAAAAGGCCTGAAGGTATCAATACACAGTGGCCATTTTATGGGGTCCTTACACATTTCTTTTCCTTCAAAATCTGTTGTCAGTAGTAGCTCAGGTATGTAATTCAATCATATTCACCACATATATACATCAGTGATTTCAAGCAATGGCGATCTGAATTAACTATTTACAACTCATGAATCACCTTAAAAATATGGTATTATAAATCCTAATCAATATGGTTTTCAAAAAAATTATTGATAGACAATGCTGTTTCTTCCCTTTTAAATAAAATTCTTACTGCTTTAAATAATAAAGCTAAAGCTAGGGGAATCTTTTGTGATATTGAGAAGGATTTTAACTGTTTCAACCATAACATTCTTTTACACAAACTGGAAATATATTGAATTACGGGAGTTTCTGAGAACTTATACTCATATTCCCAATACTTAAGAGACAGATATCAGCGTGTGTTTTTTAAAGATAATTTAACTCACTATAATATAGTATCGAATTGGTCTTAAATTTGACGTGGTGTTCCTCAGGGCTCTGTACTGGGACCTTTGTTATTTTTACTGTATATCAATGATCTTTCCTTGGCCACTGATGGATCACCTATGCCCATTCCTCTTGCCGACGATACCAGTTTAATAGTTTGGATAATAAACTTGATATTCTAGATACTAAACTAAGTGCAAATGTTCAAATAGTTTATAATTGGTTCAAATCAAATTTATTATCTATCATTTTTTTAGACACATTGTATGCAATTTATGACAAAGAATTCTGTATTAACCAAGACCTTATTTGTTTGTAACAATAACGAAATCACTGAGGTTTCTCACTTCAAATTTATACATCTGGTACTGGATAACACATTATCCTGGAATTTGCATATTGACAATGTTTTAAAAAAATTAACCAGAGTTTGCTATGATCAGATAAGTCAAACCTTACATGTCTCTTTCCTCACTGGTAATGATTTATTACTCCTTATTTCATTCTATATTATCTTATCTATATAAATATATTCTGGGGTCAATCTACCAATATGGAAGTTGGTCCTCATGTAGTAATCTTTTTAGACAGTTAGAGATCTTACCATTGAAATCTCAATATATATTTTCAGTCCTGTTTGTTTTAAAGAACAGGAATTTTTCATTACTAATTACGATAAGCATAATGTACAGACCAGATATTGTGAAAATTTATATTCTCCTACTTCCTCTCTATCATTGTATCAAAATGGTGTTTAGCACACTGGTATTAACATTTTTAATAAATTACCGCTTGAATTAAAAGAGCTTGTACAGACACCTAATATTTTAAGAGTTCCTTAAGAAGATATCTGGTGTTGCACTGTTTTTACAAACTGGAGGAATGTTATTGTATAAATGTTTCTCATTTGCATTAGATTTTTTTAATCATATTCATTTATGTTCTACGTCTGTGTTATGTATATTTCATATTATGTTATTTTGACTTGTTCCAATGATTAATTGGAACATCTGTTCTGATATGTGACACATTCTATATCCAAGGGTTTGTGAGTCTACTTCTCATGCTGTATCTGGATCTGCTTGAATTTGAAATAAAAGAACAAAGGACAAATAATCAACTGGAATCATTCTCTTCTAGGTTATGGCCCCACATATGGCAGGTGGTTACCATCAGTGGTAACCAAATTTTTTATGACTGCCTATAAGAGTGCATAATGGCATATATCAGCTGTCAGACTACATAGTGGCATATATCAGCTGTCAGACTACATAGTGGCATATATAAGCTGTCAGACTACATAGTGGCATATATCAGCTGTCAGACTACATAGTGGCATATATCAGCTGTCAGACTACATAATGGTATATATATCAGCTGTCAGACTACATAGTGGCATATTTCATCTGTCAGACTACATAGTGGTATATATCAGCTGTCAGACTACATAGTGGCATTAATCAGAAGACCACAATCTAATCTTAATGCCATGAAAGCCTAATACCTCATATAATCAAGTGACTATTTAATTTGTGAATTTTCTGATTAATAGGGATATTTAATGCACAAAGAGTTACTAATGAATTTACTAGTGAAGAAATAACATGCCACAGGACATCTGAAGCCAGAAAATGTCTTCCAAGCATTCTCTAAGCAAGAAACAAAGAGAAAAGGAACTTAGTTGGTAAAACCAAGTACAAGTGCACTGTGAAGATTAGAAATGTAATTACAGTAGCATTGTCTATGTGAACAGTACTATTAGCAGATTTATGTACTATTTGTACATCTTTATAAAGCGGTGACCAGTTACATGCTCTTTCTGTGTGGTGCCGGCTGTGACAGTAGCAGTAGCGGTGGTGGTTGGAGGAGGAGGGAATATTTATCCTGTTATTTTGACCTACGTCTCTACTTTTCCAAGGTCCAAATTCATTCTCCAGTATGCAAACATTCATTAAATTCTGTCCAGTTTAATTTGCTGTAATTTATTTCTGTACTGAACATGTGAGTATTTAAACCAACGGTGGAGCATGACTTTTTCATAAGTGCTAGCCAAATTCAAGGCAAAGGGAAGAGCTCTGTACTCTGCAAGCACATAAGCAATTAATCTGTGTTAACAGTTTTTGTTTGGCTAATGTGACAGCTTGGAATGTCATACGCTCCCTCCTCCCCTCAAGTCTGTACTACATTATGTCCCTTCTAACCTTTGCTCAGATAATATTTTTTTCAATTCGCTTAGTGGGGGGGTCCACTCAGCACAGCGGCCACTGATTGGCCTATTGTAGCCTGCCCCGGGTGATTATAATAATGGAGAATTTGGTGGAATGAAGATTGGCAGGGGAAACCGAAGTCCTCAGAGAAAACCCACCCCAGACCCACTTCCTCCACCACAAATCCCACTTGACCAGAACCCGGTATCGAACCTGAGCTGCTGCGGTGGGAAGCCAGCGACTAACCGCTTGAGCTATGGCATGGCCTACAGATAATGATAAGTGTAAGCCTCAAGAACTGGCTAACAATGCCTGTGATTGGCTGGCTGGAGATGGCAGTCGATGTCATTTCTCATGCTATTGTATGGAGTGAAAGATAAGGTGAAGTTATCCCTGTAACAGACCATGAAGGCCCACAGGTTTGTGAGACATCGAGGATCCCACATTATCTAGACGATCGGCTCACAGATGGCGGTAAGATTGTCAGCCTTATGCGCCGGTCGCCCTTTACCCCCCAGGAAGATTCCTGGTAATCATTTCTGTTAAGAGGCTGAGTTGACCCCAGGGCCATAGTGAGGCTGGAAGGATTGGGTCAATTGAAAAAATTCACCTCATCAGAAATAGAACCAGCGACCTTGCGGCTTGTAGCATAGTGCCTCAACCAACTACGCTACCGTGTGCCCCCGCCATTGTATGGAGTGCCACCGAATTAGTAACATGGCCACAAATTCTGTGACATGTTTGGTGTAAAATGATATTATGAAAGGGCTCTTAAAGCAGCAACACAGTCACACTATTGTTAAGTTCTTCCTGTTATTATAAACAATTTCCATTCAGGCTTCTTTTATTTTCCATTTCATTCCTACACATAAGACAGAATCTGTGTTAGTGACTTCTCCCATTCACCTCTCCCAACATATGGGTGTGCTGTGTTATTCGACTTACCAGTCCCATTGGGTAGGTCCTGAACATAAGTCACAAAACATTTGACAATAGACTTCTGATGTGTGTTTTTCCCAAGACCCAACTGGATGTCCTCCAGGAGGCGACTCATCATCTCGCTGATCTGATCATCAGACAATTGCAACTCCTTGCAGTGCTCACGAATCTGTGAAATAAAAGGGAGAAAACAGCAAAGTCATTAGATCTTATATAATCACTCTTATTTTTAAATGCCATTCTAAATATCTTGAAGGATTAGGGCACTTCTTTTCTAGCACTGAGGCATAAATGGGCACTGACTCCACAGAAATTCAAGGAACATGTTATTATTCCAGGAAGCTGTTTCAAATCTGATGATGGAGGTATGAAAGCATAATGCAAGTACCAACTTCAAGAACTTATCTTCATTCAGAATATAATCATATATGTATATACACGCATATATGATCAGATTAACCAATTAAACATCAAACAGTAATAAGCAGTATTTCCTCAAGCATCTCTGGATTGTAGTGTTCGAAAGAACATTCATTCTTATGGGGAGCACAGTGGCCTCCGTAGTCTAGGGGTAACGATCCCACCTCATGACTCGTGGTACGCGGGTTCAAATACCCGGCGGAGGTCATCGAATTTTTAAGGGCGGAAAAATTCAGGGAACAAGTCCTCCGGGAGGGACTTTAAGCTGTGTGTCCCGTGTCGTAACTTTACGGCACGTAAAAGAACCTCATATCCCCAAAGGGGATCATTGAGCCAAATTCCAGGACGTTTCCCGCCCAACAATAGTCTCTAAGACCTCTGATAGATGGGGGGAGCATTATAGACACCGCTAAGCAAGTGGCCGAACTCGCTTGCTCGGTGGGACTGATGGTACGCACCATTTATCGGTAGGGTATAGAGACTGGTAGAATATCATGAGGGAAGCACAATAGATCAAACTGGTCGCGGTGCATGGGGAAACCCACCCTCTCTAAATAACTAACTATGGGGAGCACAGTGAAATGGGTCTGCTGTAACGATTAGCTGATCATGTTTAAAGTGTATACTCCGAACTATCAGAAGACTACATCTGCTGTGAGGCAATTTAAGTAAATAATTACCAAACGGCTAGGATGAGTTGCTAACAAGCTTGCTTCATATTCAGGAGGAATTGAATTGGATTCT